ATGAAAACACTTCAATTCACCATAGAATTTATTGGTAATTTCTTTCCACAGTCGTCTTTGCCCTCTCAGTCTAAAAGGAGTGACAGAGCAACTCTTCAAAACAAAAACGTTATTCAGGAATTACGAGAGATTACAATTTAGGATATGCATGTAATAGCAGACCATAGGTACATCTAAAGGGAATGGGTTAAAAGCAGCTTTTAAAGGGCCAGCCAGATAGCTCAGCAGACTAAAGATAGCTCTGGAGCAGCTGGAGTTTGATCCCTGCTGTGCCGCCTCCTCCCTCCCATGCGCTGAGATAGTGATTGAAACTGGGCGTGGTGGCATGTGCCTGTAAATCCCAGTGCTTGGGAGGCTGAAAACAGGAGAATCACTATGAATCCTATCTACGTAGTGAGACCCTGTAAACTCTGCCCTACATTCATTAAAAAATAACAACCAGAAAAATCCCACAGCTTTTAAAGACATAGAAGCTACATGAGTTGTTTTTAAATAAGTCTCATTAGCCACAGGAGTGATTGTAGGAGTTGGTGATTATGTGTTGGTAATATGGTTGTTACTGGAGAGATGGCTCTTCTTTTGGTACCAGGAATGAAACTCAGGACCTTGCCAAGGAGGTACTATGCCACTGAGCTATCCCTGGCCGTGAGATGTCTTTATGGAAGTAACTACTATGGAATTGTGGTTTCAGGGACTCCTTGTAATAATTCCTGTTAAAAGCATACATGAAAGAAGGTTATCCCTTCATGGCCTGCCAGCTTCATTTTTGTCTAGGGTTGACATATGTGACTTCATTCTGGTCTTGATGACTTTTACACTTTAAAAACTGGAGTGGTTAAATCCAATAGAGATAAAAGCTGAGAAGAAATGTTCTCTCAACTTTATTGAACTAGGTGTAATAGCGCTCACCTTTAATCTCAGCACTCAGGAGGCTGAGGCAGGAGGATCCCTGAGAGTTTGAGGCCAGTGTAGGCTACAAAGTGAGTTCAAGGCCAGACTGAACTGCAGAGTGAGACCCCATATATCTCAAACCTTCTTCTTCTTTATTATGATCATTTGGCAGGTGAGCCCACATAAAACTACTGCATTTGAAAGTTTTTTTTGATGTTTTACATGTGCACTTTTGGTTAAATTTTCTGTTCCAAGAAAGTGATGTATACAGCATTGCTGAAACTAGAAGAGGATTTTGAAGGGTTTTTTTTCCAGTCTCCTAAACTTTGTTTACTCTTTGGAGACACCAGTGCAATAAAAACCTAAATTGGGAAGGTTAAAGTAAGAGAATTACAAGTTCAAGGCCAAGGACTGGGGAGATAGCTCAGTAGAATATGCCCCTGCCTGGCAAGCACAGGGTTCCGAGCTTAATCCTCAGTACCACAAAAACAAAAAAAAAACACATTGCAGATTCAAGGCCAACCTACCCAGCTTAGCAAGACACTGTGGTACAAACCTGTAATTCCAACACTTAGGGAGCCTGAGGCAAGATAACGACTTAACAAGACCCCACCACAAAATTTTTTTAAACATTAACATATTCACAACAAAGCCAGATTTCTATCTTACTGCTTCAAGGCTTTGAACCACTAATGGTACATGCATAACAGTCCCATCTGGTAGTATAGGGCATCTGGTGGTATGGGGCAATCATGCTTGTATCACCCAAGATTCAAGCCAGTGGAAATGTATTAAAAGGGCTGGAGACACAGCTCAGTAATAGAGTGCTACAGCATTCAGACCCCAGTACCTCAAAAAATGAAGTAAAATAAAACTTGAAAAGGGCTTGAGATGCAGCTCTTTAGGTAAAACACTTGCTAGGATATGGGACCCTAAACTCCATTTCCAGCACCACAGGGAAGTAAAAAACAAAACTAAAAGAAAGACTGGTTTCTCGTTTCAGCTGACTTGATGTTTTTCTTGGTAAGGTAAACACTAGCAAATAGAGTGAGAATATACAAACATTTAAGGAGTGGAATATTTATTACTGTAGTATTTAGTGTTTTCTGCACATGTAAGTTATATTTTAGTACAAGTAGATCTATGACTGAAGGAAAAATAAACACTACTTCTGATTCATGTTTGCACCTGAGTTATTTCTAATGCAGCCAAAAGGAAGTGACAGATTCTTAGTGATTTAACAGAAGATAATATATATTGTGTCTTTATGTTCATTTTTACTAGTAAGGTTTTCTTATTAATTACTTAGCTTTAGTTTTAGATAATACCTATATACATGCATAATTTTTCTTTTCCAGGAGCTTCCCATGTCAAACAGAAGGTCAATTTCTCTGAAGAAGGTACTTTTTATTTTTATTTATTTATTTTTTTTAATTT